ACCAACAACAAAAATAAAAAGAAACTCAATGTCCCACCTCCCCCAGATCTCTCCAGAAACATCTGCCCCTTCTTAGACCACTGGTTAATGACACCCAAGTGAGTGAGTCACTCATGTTATTTTTGTAGGTACCCAGGATGGTTCTCTGGGCCTCAGCTGACTTTCCACTGATGGCAGAGCAACACACCTGCTCTTGTTCCTTTGTGTGGACCTGCTGGGTAGAGGGGGCCAGGGAAGGTTTGGCTGCCCTGTCTGGTCTGGCCTAGGTGCTTACCTCTCTGGGTAGTAGAGCCGCCTGGGGGTGGCTGAAGTGATGGGAATCTTGGTTCCTCTGCTGACCTGCTGTGTGGTCTTGGGCAGGCGTTCACTTTCTTTGGACCCTTGTGTTTTATCTGCAAGGTAATTGGAAGGGTATATCAGTGTGCCTGCTGAGAAGCACGCCCAGAGTGCCGTGAGCAGAGTTGTCATGTGCCACCCATTCTGTGGCTCGCAGGACACCACGTTTCCATGTCAGGATGCGCTCCGCTGTCACTTGCCGGAGAGCCTTTGCAGGTTGACAGGGATGGCGCGCGCAGTGCGCTAGCTGGGAAATGGGCGCTGTAGAAGCACTCCACCTCCATCGGCTTCTGGAACTGTTTTCTGGCCAAGGTCAGCTCACCGAATGACCATAGCCCAGCTTGGCAGGGGTCCTGGGCCAGCAAGCAGGGCTTTAACAGGCTCTTAGGGAACAACTTCCTGTCTAAAAAGGAAGTGCTCTCATTTTTTTCCCATGGGTAAAAGGATGCTGTGTTGATTTCCAAGGAAGGAAACAATTTTTCCGCCCTCTTTTGGGTGAAAATGCTTCTGTCTGTGTGAAAACCAGAGGTACTGGGGTCTACTCAAGACCCCAGAATAGCCTTCAGCGACCAGAGGCCATGAGTGCTTCTGGGGCCGGGCATATTCCCGCTGCTGCTCCAGGACTGGGGACCAGCCGTGTACAGTGCAGGTCTTTTCTGCACGTGTTCCATGCTTTGGGAGAACTTGCGTCTGAAAGCCATTCATGCTGAAATAATACACTAGGCCGCTGATCACTGTCACCCAGGACTGACTGGTGGTTTCGGTGCCTTTCACCTGGGCTAGCTCTGAACCTCAGGGAAGCATAGGCAGCTGTATCCGAAGAGGCTTCTGGATCCTTCTTGCTAGTCTTAGTACATGCTGCCTCGTTCCCCAGTGAGGTCTGTCTTGCTAGGAGAAATGAGAGGTGACAACCAATATGGTGGCTGTCACTCTGAGTTCGCTTGTGCAGTGAACCCGTTCTGCTCATTAGCTCCACAGACACCCATTTAGTAGCCACATATGCCAGGCCTGGTACAGAGACACAGGGTCTGGTGATGAAGCCAGCCAATCCTGGTCACAGCCAGCCCTGGTCACAGTCTCGCAGAGCTGGCATTCTCTCAGCTCCACGGAGCAACACTGAGCCAGGATGCAAACTCGAGCATGCGCACGAGCATGTCAGGCGCCTGTGCTCAGACTGGGTGCTCAGGGTGGTCGGGCGTGCGTTTAGGGGAAACAGTCTTGTTCTTGTGTCTCCTCCTCTTCCTCCTGATCACTGCAACTCGGATGTGCATGGCTTTCCGGATTGCTAATGGCCGGGGTGGGACTCATCCCAAGGCATCACTGAGAAACCTCTCAGCACCCACGTGCTGGTACGTGTTGCTAAGTGGCTGTTAGAACCCCTAGGCCCTCATCCACCCAGGTGTGAGAGTCTGCACTGACCAGGTGCAGTGATCAGAGCTGGAAAGCAGAGATTCCTGCTTCTCAAAGAGAAAGAGAGGGAGAGAAAAGGGAGGGGGAGGGAGGGAAAGGAAGAAAAGGAAAACAGGAGAGGATTAGAGGGAGAAAAGTAGAAGGAAGAGAAGTAGATGGAGTAATGTGGAAGAGAAAGAAAGAGCAGAGAAGGATGGGGGACTCAGGGAAGCTGTGGGGGGGCACCCAGCTGGCGATAGGCATGGGCCAGGGGAGGGGAATGCTGGGAATGCTGGGAAGGGTGGAAGGCCAGTCCCATCTTTGACCCGCGGCTGTGGCTCTCAAGCATTTCTGCCTCCAGTGGTGGATAATGAGCAGAGGCCGTGTCCTGCTTCTCAGGCCTCCTGGCTCTCTCCCCGCTCCTCACCCGTGAGTGGCAGCGTGAGGTTCCTCTAGGGTAGATTCTATCAGGCTTGGAGCTGAACTAAAGCCCTGCGAGGAGCCCCAAAGGACCAGGACATCTGCTCCTGTTTCTCCCAAGGTTGTGTGGTCCTAGGAAGCAAATTGTGCAGTCAGGTGTGGACCCGGGCGTTATCTCCTGCATGTCTGCAGCTGTCCTCTCTTCCTTGCCACCAAGCTCTGGACCCCAGAACTTCTGGAGCCCAGGCTGCAGGCTCATGCGAGGACCCTGGCAGGAACATAACCTGCCTGTCGTCCACTGGCTGGTTCCCGATGTCCCTCCTCTTTGAGTTGTCAGGGGCCAACGGGACATATTGGTTCAAGAACTGGTTTTGTTGGCTCTTGAAGAATCTATGACCCTTCTAAGGGTGTTAAGCTGCCTGGGTTTTTGTTTTGATTTGTTTTGTCAGTTGTGGGGCTGAACTCTGGGCCTGGGCGCTGTCCCTCAGCTCTTCAGCTCAAGGCTAGCATTCTACTGCTTGAGCCACAGCACCACTTCTGGCTTTTTCTGCTTATGTGGTGCTGAGGACTCGAACCCAGGGCCCAATGCATTCAAGGCAAGCGCTCTATCACTGAGCCACCTTCCCAGCCCTGCCTGATTTCTTCTTTGCAGATGGCACTCACATAAAACACCGTGCCAGCCCCCTTCCCACCCTTCTCTGTCTCTGAGTTCTGGTCTGTGGTTTTGGTCTGGGTTCTGGTCTCTCATCTTCTTTGATTGTGGGTTTTGCACTCTGGTCTCTGACTGGGATCTGGGTTCTGAATTATTACTTGATGGTCTGGATCTGGATTCTTGGTTCCAAGTTCTGGTCCGGGTTTGGGTTCTGGATTCTGGGTTCTGGGTTCAGGTCTAGTTCTGGTTTCTGATCTGAGTTTCTGGGTTCTGAGTTCTGGTCTGGCTTCTAAATTCTGGTCTGGTCTCTGGATTCTGAGCTCTGATCCGTGGTTCTGGGCTCTAAATTCTGGTCTACGCTCTCTTTGGACTCTGGGTTCCAAGTTCTACTTTGGTCTCTGTCTGGGCTCCAGTGTGGCTGTTTTACTGCATCTGCCCCTCACAGGTCTGATGGGTGGCTGTGAGTACCCTGTCTCGGTGATCTTTGTACCACCCTGGCACACACCACCCCAGCCCGAGATGGGAACGGCACTTGGGGGCAGGAAGGCGCTGGTGCAGCCCTTCCAGCTCCACACACCAGCAGTCAGCCCAGTGACCTGGCCTCTGGCTCTCAGGGTCCAGCTGGTGGTCAGCTCTGAACTTGGGGAGGAAACAGCCCCAAGGAAAATGTGCTCGCGAGTAACCCTGACTCCAGCTTGAGCAGCTGCGCAGTAATGAGAGGGTGCCTGGTATTTAGCGCTCACTCCCTGGGTGATGTCACTCAGAACCCCTGGGAGCCTCTCGCCCAGCTACTCAGCCCCGAGCTGCGCAGTTCCACCTGGGGAAGCCCTGGGACCAGTCCTGCTCAGGGTCTCTGCCTACCCAGCTCTCCCGTCTGTCCATCCTCTGCGTGACACCAGCTCTTCGGGCTCCGGGCCCCACTCAGACAATCCCCCCTCGGCCCACCCATGCTTCTTGGTTGCTCACCAGCCCTTGCCAGTGGAACTGGGTCCGTGTGCAGCTCTGAGCTGCTCTCTGCACCCTGCATTGGTTTCCCACTGGGATGACTCTGTATTCCCGGGGCCCACAGCTTCTCTTCTTAATGAGTCAGAGTGGCGGGGACACAGGCTTCCTGCCCTGCCCTTCCCTTCCTCTCCGCCTTGCTCAAACAAGGCCTCAGGGACTCCCCTGGTGGCAGGTTGGAAGGTTCAGATGTCCTATCTGTGCAAGATGGGAAGGCAACAGGGAAAAAGCTCCCTGGGGCCCAGATGCTGGCAGACATACAGGCTTGGGTGCCCAGCAGAGCCGGGGGAGAGAGACAGGACAGGGGCCCCCAAGGCAAGCCCCCCCAAGAGTCCCCTTCTCACAAACTGCCTCTCAGCATTCTGTGCAGGGGCTGAAGTTGTAAAGGCTCCATTCCCGTTGGCAAGGGTGAGGAAGGCTGCCTCCCCACCGGACGCGTCCCGCACCCGTCGCTCAGCTGGAAGTCTTAGCTGTGAACCCCACTGCTTCGATTTATCTTTTATAGCACGTGTAAACAGCCCACTTGAAAATGCAGAGTGTGGCTTTGGTTGGGATGTGCAGATCTCTTCCTCTTTTGTAGAGCTTTCAGATGAGAGACTTGGCAGAAATTCTAAAGCCATTTGATGTGATTGCATGATGATGGCCAACTTTCAATTATTAATTAAGGAATTAATAATGTATTGATTAATTATAAAGTGATTCCAGACAAATGGATCCCATATCAATAATTGATATATAAAGTAGAAGTAAATAACTTGTAAATGAAATGTGAAGTGAGTTGCTTAATTAATTCAGGCACATGCACAGCACCCCGGGCTAGGAGCAGCCCGGCAGAAGGTGCTGTGCTGAGTCAGGCTCTGCTTACACCCCGGGGCCTCCTCACTCTGAAATGGGGATGGCGGATCCTCGTGGACTAAATAATACAGAGGAAAGTGCCTCGTCCACTCTGAAGCAGCGTGCCTGCACTGTAGTGATCATCACGATAACCTGTTCAGTGCAACCCAGGACTTAGACAAGGGAAGGGGAGAGACGCAGGGCTCGGGGTCTGCTTTGTAGCCTCAGCTGCAGGGTTTTAAAGTGCAGATGGAGAGCGATGCTTTTGGCACTACTTCTGAGTCAAATGTGTGCATTGGCGTGTTTTGCACGGGGGGTCGAATGTGATGATCCACATGATAGAAATGGATGTGATCTGCTTCTGCAGGATACAAGACACTTCTGAAAGGAATCTCAGGAAAATTCAACAGTGGAGAGCTGGTAGCCATCATGGGCCCCTCAGGGGCCGGGAAGTCCACGCTCATGAACATCCTGGCTGGGTACAGGTGAGCAAGCCCTGCCAGGCCCAGCATTCCCCCAGTTCGGGGCCCGCACTACAAGGGTATCGCTGCGCCCATCGCCACAGCTTGCTGCCTGCGTAGAGTGGCAGCTGCTCCAGGCTCCGCTCACGGGGCTCCGGTGGAGGTCGGTGTGTGTCCGCATCCAGGAATCCCTGAAGGAGACAAGGCTCAGAGCTAAAGGGCCTTCCCTACTGATAGCCACACGTGGACAGGAGTGGGGGCCACAGGTGGGTGGACAAGGCAGCGTCCTACGTGAGCTCAGTTCTCTGGGGGCAGGAAGACGTAGGGAGACTTTGTGACAGTTGAATGCATTGAATGCATAAGGCAAGGCACAGGGGAAGAGGACCAGCCAGGCTGAGGCTTCTGCGTTCTGTGAGTTGTTTGGAACTCTACAGGCCAGATTCCCCAGTGTGTCTGTTTATTATAAACGGGATCTTGAAAAGTATTTGAAAATGCGTTCTGGCTCTTTAGAGTGCTCCTAGGTTCCCATGTGATAACTTTGGTAAATACATACACTGGGTCTTGAATCCAGTCCCGTGTCTGTCCCTCTACCCCTTGGTTATCTACCTGGTACATGAGTCTGCGGAGAAGAGCCGGGAGGGGGTCCTCCAAGCCCCAGAGGGGGCTGCGGCAGGATGAGAGCTGACAATCCCCCCTCTGCTTGGGTTTGCAGAGAGACCGGCATGAAGGGCGCAGTCCTCATCAACGGCATGCCCCGGGACCTGCGCTGCTTCCGGAAGGTGTCCTGCTACATCATGCAGGATGACATGCTCCTGCCACACCTCACCGTGCAGGAGGCTATGATGGTGAGCCTCCCGCTCTGCCGGCTGCGCCCCTCCCCTCCCCTCCGCCCTTCCCCCTCCTTTCCCCTCCCCCTCCTCTCCTCTCCTCTCCCCTCCTTTCCTTCCCATCCCTCTCTTCCTGTCTCCTCCCCTCCCCACTCTCCTCTCCCCTCTCCCATTTCCTCTCCCGTTCTCTTCTCTCCTCTCCCTGACGTTGCTCTGACAGGGCTGCCCCTGGCTGTCTTCCAGGCCTTGCACAGATGTTCCTACTAGCAGAGTTGTAGCCCCAGGCTCCATATTTGAACAATGACATGGAAAATAAGCCCCAAGACCATGTCTTTTAATGAACCTTATCTGGCGAAGTTCTGGTTGAGTTTCTAAGACTGTAGAGCCCTGAGGGGAGACGACTTCCGCCAGCCACAGTCTCCCCACATGCGACGCGGTGCCACTCCGCCCGCGGTCCCTGAGTTACTCTGGGCTCTGGCCAAGCCCCAGTGCTCCCAACGCCCTGACTCATCGGGGCTGCCAGGTGAGGGTCCGGCGTCAGCGCTAGCTGAGCACCACCGGGGCCGGGCGCCACGTTCACGGGCCCACAGCACCGGCAGCGGCGTGAGCTCGGGGGCAGATGTGAAACAGAACCTCCACAACTGCCGCCCAGCCGCCCAGCGTGCCGTGCTGTGAGGCGGAGCTCTGCACTCCAAAAGGCCTCCTCAGCTCACCGCTGCGTGCTGCGCGCCTGCCACTTCCTCCTCCGCCTCAGCTCTGAAGCCTCGGTTTCCTCCTCGGAGAGACTGTGCAGGCCTGGCTGCATTGGTGGCTGGGAGGGGGCAGGGGGGACCCACAGACCTCATGCTGGCAGTGGCTGTAAAAACCCGTCACTGCTCTTCCCCTTCCAGCATGTCCTCTGAGGATAAATCCTGACGTGGATAAAAACCTGCATGGTGTCCAGACGTACCTTTCCTCTTGAGCCTCCGAAGTAGCCTGGTGGTGCCCGCACAATGGGCCTCTCTCCACAGACCGTGACCCCCAGCAACTCCTGGGACTCTGGGCTGCTAGGGTCATTTATGAAAAGCCCAGCCTGCAGCGGGAGCTTTCAGTTCACAGGGGATTTGATCTGAGCACAGAGGCTCACGCTGCTGTGCCGGGCAGAGAGCTGTGAACGTGGCGCCTCGGGCCTGTGACCCCAGCTCTTTGAGAGGCAGAGATTGAGAAAGGTTGGAGGCCAACCTGAACAAACCCCATCCCAACCAGCAAGCTGGCACTGTGGGCCGCCTGTAATTCCAGGTGTACCACAGGAGGCATAGAGAGGAGGGTCAGGGCGAGAGGCCCACCCTGGCAAGAAAGGAAAAAGGGCTGAGGGCATGGCCCAGGTGGGAGAGCACCAGCCTAGGGGTGTGAGGCGCCGTGGCCAGTCCCCGGGATGCCAGAAAGTAAACACGAGGGAGCTGGACCCTCCGTCCTGGGCACTGCTTCATTCTCAAGGTCCTGGGATTCTGCGTAGCGTTCTCCTGCCTCGCCGGTCCCCCCGTCGCTCTGCCTTGTGGTCAGCAGAGGCAGTGCTCCCTTGGGGTCACCCGGAGCTGCCCTGTCCTGTGCTCCTGACGTGGATGAGCTGAGCTCCGGGCTGCGTGGCTGCGGGACAGCGTTTCACGGGAATCCCAGGGATTCTTAGTTCAGCAAAGGGCAGTGGTTAGGATTTCAGATACGCGATCTGCTCCCCGGCCTGCTGGTGGGCAGCAGCAAGGGAGGGCCTGGCCGGGCTGTCCCCGATCCCTCCCCGAGGGTGGCGCGTTCTGTAGGTAGGGGGACAGCTTGCCTCCCGCACGCTCTGTGCTGGGAGCCTGCTCGCGTGTCTGGCCTCTGCTGGGCTTTCCGGTGGGCACAGAGGACTTAGGACCAGCCTGCTGTGAAGTGCGGGAAATTTGCATCCGGTACATCCCTCTTTACACCCCCGCGTTGCACACGTGTGTTGGGTTCTCTGCAAGTCATTGACTGGGTGGGACGCAAAGGTTCTTGTGGAAAGAACCCTTACTTTGATTTCCTGGCCAGCCTCTGAGGCAGGGCATTTCCTCACGCTTTCTGGGAAATGAGTCGACCTTGAACCTGCCACAGCTCTTCCCTTTCCTCACGAGGAATGACTCGGTCACCAGTAGTTGGTCCCATGTCAGCCAGACTGAGACGCAACACTCGGTCACACAGCACACAGCTGGCTCTGCAGAGGTGACCGGGGCCTGGCCTCATCCCAGGCCGGAGACCTCATCTCCACTCTTCTCTGATTCCGGATCTCTCACCTAACCCCTTCAGCTTCCCTGGTTAAGGAGGTGGTAGGATTAACCTTACCAGTGTGCTGTTGAGGAAACTGAGGCTGACAGGGGGCCCAGGACACAGACCCTGGGAGCCGAGCAGGCTCCGTGACCCCCTTCCCAGAGTTTCAGCCCTCAGGGCCAAGACTCCGGTTCTGTACAGTAACAGCATCTCTACAAACAAAACAAGCAGAAGCAGCATCCTGGTAGTAGCGCTCGCCAGTTCCTTTAGTGTGCATACCACCTAGGTCCTTTCAAGTTATCGGAGGTTTAACAAGTGGCGCAAGGAATGCCTCCATCACAGCGCAGGGCCGCCCAGCAGGCTCAGGGCCCGGGCCCACGTCGAGTGCCTTTTATGGGCACAGTAGAGAACTCCTGAGATAGCGGGGAACATCACAGACACGCACTTTTCTCCTACAAGGCCACCTTTACTAGGCCACGGGCAGCGGGAAGGTGAGGCTTCTGAGGGTTTCCTGGAGCCATCAAGTGTCTCAGAAAGCTGCGGGGGGGTCTGGCCCTCGTACAAGGCTCGCCCTGAAACAGCCGCCGTCACCATGTTGTCCTTGCCCCCTGCAGGTGTCTGCTCATCTGAAGCTGCAGGAGAAGGACGAAGGCAGAAGGGAGATGGTAAGTGTGCTGCGGCCGCAGCCAGCCCCGCCAGAGGGCGGCCGGCGTCCCCCGAGGGTGTGTGGTGGGGCGTCGTGTGCACGACTTCTGCTCGCTGACTTGGTGTGTGGTGGAGGGCAGCATCTTAGGTCTTGGGCCCACCGTGACGCTTTAGGGTCACCTCGTGGACTCTTAGACCCAGCAGGCAAGGAGCTCAGCGCTGCCCAGGCCGGGGCATGTCCGCTTCAAGGTTGCGTCAAGGGCTCTGCCTCCTTCCACTTTTAAAATAGATGGGACAGTTTTTCATAACGCATAGACAATGAAGATTGCTAGTCATTGGTTTAAAAATAACCACCCTCTACCCACGTACTTCACAAGAAGAAATTTAGTTCTTCCTTGTTATTAACCAGCTCTTTTTTTAAGAGAGAGAGAGAGAGAGAAAGTAAACACGTTTCCAGCATGCCTGGGACGTCTCCTCCTGTTTACCACTCTTTTTGGTTCCTGACGCCTGCAGAGAGCCAAGGGGGTACAGGGCAGGCCGAGGGGGTACAGGGCAGGCCGAGGGGGTACAGGGCAGGCCGAGGGGGTACAGGGCAGGCCGAGGGGGTACAGGGCAGCGGCTACCATGAAGGCCCCAGAAAGCATCAGAGGGTGGGCAGCTGGTCCAGGTTCACTGGAAGGAAGCTCAGCTTCCTCTCTGCTCCACACAGTGCTCCTGGGCAGGAGGGGGGGAGGGGGATGGGAGGGGGGATGTCCACCTGGTGAGGTCTCACGTATCACAGCCTGTATCTCCCCCCCCCCCCCCAGAGCTCCTGTCTGGCCGCTGAGTGGGCTTGGCTGGGGCCTGGCTGGCGGCACGCCAAGGCTGTTGGTGGTTTGGGGTGAGAGGGGGGAGTCTTTCGGTCGCCACCAAACACGGGAAGGAAACACACGTGGTGCTGTTACTCATGTTTCCCCCTTCCTGGATGGGCAAAAGGCTTCATTGATGCTAGGTACATTCAAATTGCCTTGCTAGGGAAAAACAGCAGCAAGCCACCTCGGGCTCCTTCCTCCTGCTTCCCCACGGCGCCCTGAGAACTTGTGGGGTTTGGCTCAGGCCACTGGGAATGGGAGGAACGGCTCCAGTTCTGAGAAGCGAACACCTGTGCGCACAGAATGCGCTTCATGGGGAGCTGAGACTGAAGGGAAGAACGTGAACACGTGTATGCACACGCTGTGTGTGTGCGTCTGTCTGTCTTAGGCAGAAGGGCTGGGCGCGCGGCCCTGGCTATAGGCTGCGAGTTGACTCCAGGCTATAGCCTGGAGTCTGCGGCTTTTCCTGACCTCATGGTATAGACACGCAGACATCACAGACACGGTGCTCGCAGCCCTCTCTGTAGCCCGGCCCAAGAGGGAAGATGAGGGCTCTGAGGTGATGCTGGAGTTCCGACTCGCACACTGGGGTGAAACGCGCACGGTCCGGTCTGGGTCGTTATGAGAACAGATCCAGAGACGCACAGAGGAGCGCACGGCCGGCCACGTGGAGCAGACGCCATCCGCCAGCCGGGGAGCCGCTCGGGGCCAGCCCTGCCACACTCTGTTCTTAGACTCCAGCCACGCTGAGACAGTCGTGTCCCGTGTTCAAAGCCCCAACTTGCGGCCCTCACAGGGGACGCGGGCCCCGAACGGACACCACAGAGGCCTCGGCTGCCTACGCGACGGCAGGGCGAAGGGAACTGTCAGGCGTGGTGTGCCCCCGGTGGGCGCCGGAACCGGCAGGACGGCCAGGGGTTTGAATGGTGAGAGCCGGAGGTGCCGGGGGGCGGACGCCTTTCCTCGGAATCAAGAAGCAGCTCCCACCCATGGAGGGGTGGCTCCGCCACGGAGCTCCTGCCTGACAAGCACGGGGCCCCAGGCCTGCCGAAAAGTGGGTCCCACAAGCGCCCAGAGGACTGTGGTGACCCGGAGGTGCCTCCCACGCCGGGCTATTCTCACCCCCCAACCTCCCAGGCTCTACGGGGCCAAGGCGCAAGCTGGTGTCTGTGAGGCCCGCACCCACCAGGGCCCTGCGAACACGCGGCAGCTACAAACACCCCCTGGGGCTGCTTCCAAAATGGCCACTGACTCCTGACTCTCCAGAGGGGGGCAGCTGGGAGAGGGAATTCTGTTCATCAAAGGCCCAACTTCGGAGCTGACCCTCCCCTCACAAGGGGGCTGGGGGGGCTGGCAGGCCAGAGGGGAGGAGCCAAGTACCTGCGCGTGCTTTCCACCCTGCCCTGCCCCTGTCCACCAGAAACCAGACCACTGCCCTTGGCATTGAGCTTCCGTCCTCTGCTCTCAGGACATTGAGCTTCTGTCTGCAGCTCCAGACAGGAGGCCAGGTCCCTGGCCGACCGCGTCTTTGCAGTCTAGTTCTGGGACTGGTGTGAGTTGTGGGAAGGAAACTGGGAACCATTTCCCCGCACCTGTGCTCCACGGCGGCCTTCCCCAGCAGAGCCGAGGGAGTCCCGCACACAGCACTGGGGTGGGTGAGCGAGCAGAGACCCCTGGCAGACGCCGCCGTGGCCTCCCACAGCTCCATCTGTGCCTCTGTCCCCCTCAGAGTTCAGCTTTACACCGGTGACTGGCCACGGCCTCTGGGAGAGTCCGGAGACCTGCTCTGCCTGGTGGAGTGGTAGGTGGCTTCTTGTTGAGGATTGGAAGGGACTCTGGGAGAAGCCACGGCCAGGCCACAGGCAGAGAGGACTCCAGGACTGCGTGGCTGAGGATACTGTGCCAAGGGCCCTTGAGCCCTTGTCAGCTGGCCGAGAGGCCCTTCTAACTAGATGCCCATTGAGCTGGGCGACACAATGAGACAGGTGTGCAGGGCTACAGCAGTCACAGTGGCCTGCCCCATATGCTGCCTCACCGAGGCCCCGCGTGCATGGGCCTCTCTTCCCTGGCCAGGCCTAGCTTCCGCCTTCCTCTCCCTGCCCCACAGGAACCCATAACGGGATTATTTCAGGACAAACAGCGGCTGGTTCTTTACCCTGACTCATTTCCCACCAGCCCCTTGGTGCCCAGGTGGAAGTGGTTTATAGTTTATGGAAGCACAATGGAATGGAATGTTCTAGCAGGTAGTGGAATGTGTTGTTCACGGCCTGCCTTGTTTCCCAGAAAAGTCATCTCAGCCCTGGGGAGCCCTTCAATGAGGCCGCTTCCTCAGGAGGAGGTCACCTTGGGCCAGTCTGTGGACAACAAGGCCCCAGGACACACATATATATACACATATATAAATACACACACACATATATATATACATATATAAATACACACACACATATATATACATATATAAATACACACACATATATATACATATATAAATACACACACACACACATATATACATATATAAATACACACACATGTGTGTGTGTGTACATATAGCTTATTCTCTGTGCCTGTTTTTAAAACAAAACCAGTGTGCGCAGCATCACTTCTGAGACATCCCCGGGAGCTCCCGGCTGGGCGTGGCAGGGGCTGCAGGCAGGAAGAAGGCCGGCCACCAACCGTGGCAACTGTGACCTGTTTCCAGTTTCCCCTCCTTGAGGATGGATGGGAAAAGGAGGTGCACCGTGCAGGTAGAATTTCCCCACAGTGAATTCAGTCATGCTGCAGTACCAGCCGACTGTTCTGGAAGGCCCCGGAACCTCCACATGTGGGGAAATCCCGTAGATAACTGTGTGCGAAGAGGAACGGCCAGGAACTCTTCCGATCATGGTCTTGCCATTCTGAAGCTCTTTGGGGGCTGGTCTCCCCCAGAAGCAAGGGGCTCCAGCGTGGAAGAGGGCAGAGGCTGAGGAGATCAGCTGGAGAGGCAGAGCCGGGCTGCAGCTCAAGGCTCTGCCTCCTCACACTGCCGACTGTCCAGCCGCGCTGCGCTTTGTACAGACCATGCATCAATAATTCAAACGTTCAGAGTGGAAATTTTCTTCCTCGTGGAGGCTACATCCTCCTGGATGGCCTCATCTCCCTGCAGAAGCTGCTGGCCTGAGTCCCCCTTGCTGTGGCCACCTGGGGCTCTCCGCCAGGGGAGCCCCCCCGGGCTCCCCAGCCAGGGGCGGGATGAATTCTGCAGGGAATACCGAGGTGGTGGCTCCCCTTCCTGGGGACCTTCCCTGGGGGCAGAAGCTGATCCCGCCTCTAACTCCTGAGAAGACACTCAGCTAGACCTGGTCACTCAGCAGTGTCCCCAAACCTGCTGGCCACCTGTGCCTGAGTAGACACTAGCACCATCCCCAGCTGAGGAGGAGGATTGTGTGCTAGTGGCCTGTTTGTGGATACCAGTGGACTAGTGCTAGCGGCCTGTTTGTGGGCACTAGTGGACTAGTGCTAGTGGACTGTTCTGTTTGTGTGTCGTCACTCAGCGCTCTTCCCAGAGACCCCGGGGCCTGGGCCTTGCGTCAGACCACAGGTCTGTTTACTGCCCTGCACACTTCCCTGTGCAATGGACAGAGCCCCGCGAGTGCAACCGGAGGCTTCACAGGAAGTGCGGCGGCATGTGACGGTGACAGTAGCTGGTGATCACGCTCTCCTGGCATGCATGTGTTACATCAGCCTCCTCGCGATTATTCTGTTTAATGACCAAGCGCCCTTTGTGCCGGCCAGAAATTCCATCATCCACTTCTGTGTCCATTAGTCCATCTGTCGATCAAATACTGGACACCTCTGTAGAAGGCGCTGGGCTAGGGCCGGGTGAGGGACTCTAGCCCCTGAGTTTGACTCCCATGCTGCTGTTCTCGCGGGACTCAGAACCATGGCGTTGGAGCAGCGCCCATGCTTGCATGGACCAACCTACCCAGATCTGCAGCCCCGTGTGGCCGGAGATGCGTGTCCAGCCGGACTCGCATGCAGGCCCTGGTAGCAACGGGGTTAGGAGGGATGGTGGCTAACGGGCACTCTTGTTCTCCTGTTCCCTAGGTGAAGGAGATCCTGACAGCCCTGGGCTTGCTGTCCTGTGCCAACACACGCACGGGGAGCCTGTCTGGTGGCCAGCGGAAACGCCTGGCCATTGCCCTGGAGCTGGTCAACAACCCCCCGGTCATGTTCTTTGATGAGCCCACCAGGTGAGCCAGGATTGTCGGCTGAGGCTGGGGAGGGCAGGCTCAGAGGTCCTCACTGGTGGTCCCGGAGAGGAGGTGCAAATGTCCCATATTCTTGAGATTGCAAGGCAGAGAGACTGGCTTACACTTCTCTTCCCCAGACTCATAGACACCTGTGCCCCGGCTGCAGGGTGCACATTGTCTTTGGGGATATGTGTCAAGGGAACACTTTCCTCTTAGCCCCCATCTCTCCCAGGATGCCCCACTAGCCAGCTCCCTGAGACACGGCTACCCTGAAGGCCAGGGAAGCAGTGCAGAGTGGGCAGCACCTCTGTTGCATGTGTCAAGGTATTTTAGAGCAGGGAATGGGACCAGTCATGACAGTGGCCTCTTGCAGGCTGGCTGCCTGGGAGGAGTGGGAGGCTCCTCATGTCTGTGACCGCGCAGCGCAGGGACAGGAGCAGGCGTAGGGCTGCAGTGCGGAGAGCAGAGAGAGAGGAGAGGAGAGCGGAGAGAGAGGAGAGGAGAGCGGAGAGAGAGGAGAG